TGTGTGCGGTTTGTGTGGGCGTGTGCTCTTGTGAGGTTTATGTGTGTGTGTGTTGTCTCGTGTTGCAGTGTGTGCGTGGGTGGTGTCTGTGTGCGTGGGTGGCTCCACGACCTGCCTCCCCGACGCCCGCGGGACATAGGCACTGGCGGCGTCTGCGGGCCTTGGGCGCTGCGTCGTCGGCTAGTGTTCAGGTTCCCCTGCCTCGGGAGGCGCCGCGTAACGCGTGGACATGTTGGAGGCCCGAGGCCACCATCCCTGCGTCTAGGGGTGCCGCAGCGGGCACTGCCGGCAGAGACGCGGGTCCCAGTGTGCACCCGACGCGTTCAGTTATCAGGCATAACCCACCCACGCGTCAGGAACAAATGGCACGCCTTGAAAACCTCGCGTGTGGGGCACGCGGGCAGAGGACCCGCTCTTGACCCTCCGCGACACCCTTTCGGCACGGATGCTTTTCGCCGGGGTTGGCTTTCGCCGGGCTTCGTTTCGCCGGGCTTCGTTTCGCGGGGCTTGTTTTCACCGGGGTCGGTTTTCGCCGGGGTTGGCTTTAAATTCGCCGGGGTTGGCTTTCGCCGTTGGTTGGCTTTCGCTGGGGTCGACTTTCGCCGGGGTTGGTTTTCGCCGGAGCTGGCTTTCGTTAACGGTTGGCTTTCGCCGGGGTTGGCTTTCGCCGGGGATTGGCGCGGGCTCCAACGGGCGGGTCGGGTCAGGCGGGCGGACACTAACGGGAGGGACGGGTCGGGTCGGGTCGGGCGGGCGGGGCACTAAATTGTGGGGCGCGCCGGAGCGAGCACGCGTAAACCCTGACAGGCGGGTCGCGGACCCCTGACGGGCGGGACGGATCGGGTCGGGTCGGGCGGACCCTAACGGGCGGGTCGTGTCGGGCGGGCGGGACACTAAAGTGTGGGGCGCGCTCGAGCGAGCACGCGTGAACTCTAACGGGCGGGTCGGGTCGGGCAGGCGGACCCTGACGGGCGAGACGGGTCGGGTCGCGTCGGGCGGACCCTAACGGGCGGGTTGGGTCGGGCAGACGGGACACTAAAGTGTGGGGCGCGCCGGAGCGAGCATGCGTGAACCCTGCGGGTCGGGTCGGGCGGGCGGACCCTGACGGGCGGAACGGATCGGGTCGGGTCGGGCGGTCCCTAACGGGCGGGTTGGGTCGGGCAGGCGGGTCACTAAATTGTGGGGCGCGCCGGAGCGAGCACGCGTGAACTCTAACGGGCGGGTCGGGTCGGGCAGGCGGGCCCTGACGGGTGGGACGGGTCGGGTCGCGTCGGGCGGACCCTAACGGGCGGGTCGGGTCGGGCAGACGGGACACTCAAGTTTGGGGCGCGCTCGAGTGAGCACGCATGAACCCTAACTGGCTGGTCGGGTCGGGCGGGCGGACCCTAACCGGCGGGGCGGGTCGGGTCGCGTCGGGCAGACCCTAACGGGCGGGTCGGGTCGGGCAGACGGGACACTAAAGTGTGGGGCACGTTCGAGTGAGCACGCGTCTGGCATTGCCAGGGGAGCACGTAGCACTGACTGACCCTGGGCCTCAGGGGGGCCTGTGCAAGGGCGATGTGGATGTGTAGGTCAGGCCGTCTGGAAGAAGGTGGGGGGGTCTAGTGCTGCTGCGGGAACGCAACGGAGCTCCAGCCAACCGGCCGCGGGCAAGAGGTGCCAGAGGAGGAGAGGAGGAAAAGGAGCAGCACCAGCATAAAAGACAGGAGCGGGAGGAGGAGAGGAGGAAGGGGAGGGCGAAAACGAACCCAGGTGAAAACCAACCCGGGCGAAAACCAACCCGGGCGACAAACATCAACCCGGGCGAAAGCCAACCCAGGCGAAAGCCAACTCGGGCGAAAGCCAACCCGGGCGAAAGCCAACCCGGGCGAAAGCCCACCCAGGCGAAAGCCAACCCGGGCGAAAGCCAACCCGGGCGAAAGCCAACCCTGGCGAAAGCCAACCCGGGCGAAAGCCAACCCGGGCGAAAGCCAACCCGGGCGAAAGCCAATCCGGGCGAAACGAACCGGGCGAAAACCAACCCGGGCGAAAAACATCTACGCCACCCTTCCCCCCCTCGCTCCGTCCCTTGCCTCGCGGCCTCTGCCGCCCTGCCCTGTCCTGCCTTTGCCCTTTTGGGGCTGGCGGACTTCCTTATGCTTGCCGCTGGGCGCGCGGCCGCGAACCTCAGGACGGACCGGCGCTGCGCCGCTCCGCGGACGACCAAAAGGTGCGCGGGAGGTGTGAGTGTCTGGTGTGTGTGTGTGTGTGTGTGTGTGTGTGTGTGTGTGTGTGTGTGTGTGTGTGTCTGAGTGTGTCTGAGTGTGTCTGAGTGTGTGTGTGTGTGTGCGTGCTGTCTCCATCATTAAAGCTGCGCGCAGCCCGCCCAGCTTTTAGCGGAAGAGGTCCGCTCTCGCCCCGCCGACCAGAAAGTGTGTGTTTTCCTGTGTGCGTGTGCGCGTTGACACATTGTGGCTATCTCTCGCCCCGCGCCCTGCAGGGTGATCTCCTCCCCTGCTGTGCCCCCCCTGGGGCCATATAATGTGTCTCTGCCTGGGCTCGGCTCCCTCCTGCCGCCGTCTTGGTTGGCCGCGCCCTACCCTGGAGGAGGAGGAGGAGGAGGAGGAGGAGGAGGAGGAGGAGGAGGAGGAGGAGGAGGAGGAGGTAAGGAAGGAGGAGGAGGAGGAGGAGGAGGAGGAGGAGGTAAAGAGAGGAAAAAGGAAGAAAATGGCGTGACTAGGTATCACTAGCGTTCCGCGGTAGGCCCAGCAGCCAGGGCAATGGCGCCGTGATGAGGCGATTCGAGCTGCGTCCTCGGCCGAACATCGCGCTGCCTGCGTGGTTGGAAGATTTCTGGAGCTTGCGGCTACTCCATACGTGGAGCCCTGCCCCCTGATGGCAGCATCCCTTGCGACCGTCCTCCGCACATAGTGTTCTGCCGTTGCTTGGGAGGCCAGCAATTTTGTGCGAGCCAAGGCTCGCTGAGTGCCCCATGCTGGATATTGGAGAATAGCTGGTCGGCCCACGTCTAGTTACTGTTGTGAAGGTGAAGGCCCACCGTGATGAATATGTAGCGACAGACTGTCAGGAACTGTGCCATATCAGAGGCGATCACTGGGTTCACCACGCAGCGAAGATAGCTGCGCAAGCCAACACTACGCGCGTTGAATAGTTAAAATGCTTCGCGGTTGCTCGTCAACTGTTTCAGGAAGTCGCGTTGAACATGCTCCATATACTTGTGTGCACTGGCCCCTTCTCAAGGACCTTTATGGCTCCTTGGATCGGCCCTTGAGGGTCCGTGCTTTCCCCGCCCCCCCGAGGCCTCATTGCCCTGTTCGGGACGGTGCGAAGCGGAGGTGCGCCCAACGCCACAGGATCGGAGCTAGACTGCCAGCCAGCTCGAAGTGTTTCGATTTTCCCCCGTCCTTGCAGGAGCTCGTGAACCAGGCTGCCCAAGCGAGTTTCTCGCACCCGTTGTGGTGTGCCCTAAACGCGGGGACGGGTATCCCGATTTTGTTGTGTGGCCGATTTGCCTTCCATTTCCAGCAGGGGGGGGCCAGGGAACATTGAGAAACACACAGATGAAGCCTGTCCCCCCCACAACACGAAATTCGGGTCTTCGGGTTGGGCTGGGGTGGTCTGGTAGGTAGTCAGAAGTGTAGATGTATGGGGAGTGCTCGGGCCCGTCGCTTGCGCAGGGCGTGTCGCCCCTCGGTTCCACCTTCCCAAAGGGGGCTTGGGGAAGCGGTAGCAGGGGAGCCTGCATGGGGGATCGGGATTACGATCTCGGAGCCCGGGCCCCTCCGTGCCACCTCACCTCCGTCCTCCTTTTCCTGCCCCCTCTAGGAAGGAAGGCCCCCTCCAGTAAGGAAGGCTCCCCACCTGTCCTCTTCCTTTCCTGCCCCCTCTTCCAGGTTGTTCCCCTGCCTCGAGGAAAGTTCGACGGCAGCCGGCTGCAAGCTGGCGCCTCGCTTCCCGGTAGGGTCACCGATCGACGAGGTCTTATGTGAGTTTCACTGGTTCAGAGGAGGAGGAGAAGGAGGAGGAGGAGGAGGAGGAGGATCGGGGACGAGGAAGAGGAGGAGGGGGAGGAGGCGGCGGAGGAGGGGCGGCGGAAGAGGAGATGAGGAGCAGGGGAGGACGAGAAGGAGGAGGAAGAGGAGGAGGAGGAGGAGGAGAATGAGTGGGCCCGTAGCAATTCTGGCTCACGCTCAAGCCATCACCCCGTGGCATGAAATTGATTCGCCGGCGAGGGGTTGCCCCGAAGTCTTTCACGCTTTCCCCCGCGGCCCCCGCGGGGGCCCTCGTGCGCCGTGTGACACGTTCTGGCATCGTCCCCACAATCGTCCTCTCGGGTGCCGCTGCCAACGTAGCGCGCGAATGATTGGTGCGCCCATGGGCGAGGAGGAGATGGAGCGACTCGCTGCTGCCATGGGAGAGCCCCCCACGCTTCCCGACGCCCCCAAGTCTGAAGGCCACAGGAGCCGCTCGCTGAAGTGTCCCGCGGACGAGGGTGAATCCCGCTCCAGTGGCGAGGGCAAGAGCAGGAAGGATCACCGTCATCTTCAGGCAGGTCGCGCTGACGGTGGGCACCGCGCTCGCCATCATCGGGCCGCTGACGAGCAGGCCGTTGAAGGCCAACGCGCGGCAGGTTTGCCGCCTGGCGGAGGGTCGGCGGACGCCGACATCAAGGAGTACGTGGACAATGCCGAGGCGCAGCTTCTCGCGGCCATCGCCAAAATGCCGGAGTGCTGCAGGACTTGGCAACCATTGCGCACACCTCGTGCTCATCGCTGTCGCGGCAGGTGGAGCTCAGATCTAATGCGGTGGAGAGCCAGTGTGACATCGACGCAAAATAGATCGGAGGCCACGACAGACTCATCGAGCAATTGAAGAAGCAGCTGGCGCTCCCAACCAACCAGAAGCCGTCTGTCGAGGCGGTGCCCTCGGCTGGATTCGAGAGAGAGGTCGACCCGACCACCATCGTGACGTGATCGGCAACGTCGGTGGCAAAGTCTAAGGTCAAGGCCACAGATGCCACTTGGCTCGCCAGGCCCAATTTGTCAGAGGAGGCTTACCAGATCGAGGGGGATGAGACGGTCAAGAGGCTCGCGGTTCGAGTCACAGGCACGCCGACCATCGCGGCGCGCAGAGTCACCGCGGCCGTCGGCGCCCTCAACATCGGCAACAGGGGGCGGGAGCGCATCGCGGTCGAGGACGCGCAGGGCTTGCATGAGGAACAACACGTGTCAGAGGACAAGAGCCCGCCTCAGGTCAGGAAATAGCCTGCGCTCCGTCGGGCGACCAAGTCCATCGAAGAGGCGACGCCGAATCGCCGCATTCTCATCGACAAAGAAGCGGGGAGATGTCTTTCCAATGGCCCCCCTCCCCTCTTGCAAGCTGACGGCTCGTGAAGGGCACCCCGCGAAGATCGAATGGGGCCGCGCTGCGCTGCAGAAGCTGGTCATTGATTTCCAACGGACTGAGCAGCTCGTCTCCGGCGCGGCGGCTGGCCGGCGGCTGGCCCCGTGGCCGCGCCGCAACGGCGTCTCTTGCGAGCCATTGAGGCGCGCTGGGCCGAATAGCAGCGCGGCGCGGCGCCGCCGCTGGCCCTGGGCAGCTGGGGCGCTCGCCCCCCCCTTTGCTTTGAGCCCCCCACGCGATCGAGAAAACTAGCCTACCTGGACCGCCCCCCTCTCCAAGGGTCAACAGTGGGCGCGTCGGAGACGCGCGGCTCTGAGCACGAGCTTCGAGACTTCATGCATCGCCGCCGTCGGCCTCGCCGAGCTGCCCCGTCCTTCTCCCGACCATTCCGCGCCCGGGGGCCCGGCGCCATCGCTTCCTTCCCCGCCTTCAGTTTCTGCGAGCCCCCCCCCCCGAGGTCAGTTCCGAGGCCCCCGTCGCAGGTCGGATCCTGAGGCTCTCCATCGAGTTTCGCGACGGCTTCCAAATCATACGCCATGGCATCCACAGTTTCGGGATCACCGCGGAGGTTCGGGGAAGGCTGCGCAGGTGCATCCTAGAAGCCGCCAGGTTGTCCAATCGACGCCCCGCGGGCTACGTCGTTTACCTTCCATGTGATTTCAGCTGCTCGGAAGCCCCGCCAGTTCCCGAACGCGCTTGCTCCGCGGGCCTCCCCGAGCTCGAGCATCGGGGGCGGGCCCGCCCCATCCTGGAATGGCGTCGGGGCGCCGGGGTCGATTGGACATCCGTCGCAGGCAAGCTGGTCGAGCGCGCGGTGCCCGAGTCGAGCCGAGCAGATGCTGATCGGGGGCGCCGGCGTCGATCGCCGCGCGAAGCTCTCGGACCACTCGGCGATCGTCGCCGCCATCGCAGCTAGGGGGCGCGCGAGGCCCTCCGAGCGCCCCATCATCCCCGAAGTCCACGGGGGAGCAGGGCGCCGCGATTTTATCATGTCTGCGCATGGGCAGGTAGGCGCCTCCAATATGAGTGCGCCGCTGCCCCCGGCGCTCAGCAAGCTCGCACCGGGCAAGGCCGATAGCCGATCGCGCTGCCAGAGACGCCATCGCACTCGAGAGGCCGACGTCGACGATGGCGAGATGAATGATTGCGAAGCCTTTCGGACGAGCAATCTGGAAACAAGACGTCGCCCTCGCCTCCCATCTCCAACTCGCCCGCGAGATCGGCCGCCGACTCCTTGGCGTCGATCCACGCGAGCAAATTGTTCAGCTTGCAGAACCCGAAGAGTTCCTGGGCTTGACCGACGAGCTCAACGCGCCCCTGAATGCGTCCGCCTGCGCGCGAGCCCGGGCTGAGATATCGGAGCCGCCCACATCGTTGTTCGACCCTGACTGAGAGGGGGGGTCTGTGGATGGGAGAATCTAGAGAAACCACGAGTCCATATTGATCGGAAGCTCTGCTCCACGGATTCAGGGCGATATCATTACCAACTTCAGGTAAATTCTGGGCGGGCTCGGCATTGCGCGGGCCCGTCTTCGCGCGCGAGAGGTCGACGCAGCCGCGGCAGAGCGCTGCCTCTCCCGCGCCCCTCCTACCGGCAGCCTCGCAGATTTCCCCCCTGCCTGGCGCTGGAGGAATCCGACGACGGCCCGGGGGCGCTCCTCGGAGCGCACCCGGACCTGGCGCTCTGTGGCATCAGGCGCGGCGGTGCAATCCTCTCGGCTGCGAGACCGGGGAAACTGCCTTTCGCCGGCGCCTGCGCCAGCGCCCACTGCCGCGCGGCGCCTCGGCATATGGCATAGAGCGCGGCGGTGTTGAGATTATCGCCGCCGTCTGGGCGCGCGGGCTTTCCGGGGACTTCCTGGAGGCCACGAGCGGCGATATTCCGTGCCCTGGGCGGCTTCTCTCCCCCGCCCCCTTTGTTCGCCATCTGCCGCAGCGCGCCATGCGCAGGGCAGCTCTCGCGCGCTCGGAAGTACTTGCCAATAATAACTTCGGGCATCATGCAAAGGCGCCCCCCGCTTCTGAGGCCCTCTACGCAATCTCGTCGCATCCGTTTCAGCGCCAGCTTCTAGCCGCGATCGAGGGTCCTGCCCGCTGCACTGCCAGAGCTCGCGCCGTCGACTTGGGCGCGTGTATATTTCAGATCACATTGCTGCGGCGAGGAATTCCATAATGGTCAGAGATGTCAATCAGCCCTTGCCTGAAGTACCTCGGAGCGTTTGTTGGGCCGCAGTCGGAGGGCGCCTCGTGGCAGGCCCCGCCCCTTAAGTACTACGCTCGGACGCAGTGCGTCGCCGCTGCCCGCTCTCCTCAGGCCGTCTCCGCGCGCGCGTACAACCGAGCGCGTGGTTGCTAATCGTTCGCGCATCTCTCAACATTTCTCGCTCCCACAGTTCGTTCCCAGTGCCGGTCGCACGCATGGCCATGACTTGCTCGATCCCGCACGGTGGGTTCACGCCAGACTTTAGCTTCAACCTCGACAACTGGCGCGGCCCGAGACTGACCAGAGCGACCGTCGCCAATTTGGCCACCCTCATGCGGTCTGCCTTGAGAGCTGGCCGGCAGACAGACAAGCTCTTGAGGCGCGTGGGCCTGCGCTGCAAAATCCGAGGGCGAAACTCCAGAAGAGCTTAAGAAGCACCCCGTGCCCGCCTCACTCGACCTCGCGTTCGCGGCCCACCTTCGGAGGTGGTTCCTTCAAGCGAATCCCGCCCTCGGTTGTGCCATTTGGTCATGCGTTCAGGCTGGCGTCAACAAGCATTCCCAGCGCGTGGGCCAGAGCATTCCTTAAGGCGGACCCCGGAGGACGGGTGCCTGTCGCCAGTTTCCAGGGGTGCGAGAGCGCCTGCGTCCTGGGCGGTCAGGCCCCCGATCACGTCAGTCAGTGCTTGCGCTGTCCTCGTTTCCTTCAGGAGGGAAACAAACACACAGACACAATTAATCGTCCATTCCCCAGAAAATATGGGAAAATATGGGAAGTGGGGGGGAAGACAAAAACCCAGAAAATATAGGAACATATGGGGAATAGTTTTATTTGTGTGTATTTATTTGTGTGTCCTGGGCCCCCTTCATTCCTCCCTGTTACTTCTGACGTGATTGCACGCGGGTTCCCCCTGCGTGTGATAGCTCGCGTCGGTCTCCTCGGCCCCGCGAGCCGGGTGCTGCAGCAATCGGTTGCCTCGCTCGCTCTCTACAACCATCTCGTTGCCATGCCGCACGACAAGGGGTGCGTTACGTCAGGCCGCCGCTGACCCTGTGCTTCCACGAGTGAGTGCTGCCCATCGCCGCGTCACTGCAGGATTTCGTTTGCTACGACGTCCGGGACATCCGCTCCTGGCTACGCGCCAGGAAGAGGAGGAACGGGAGGAGGAGGAGGAGGAGGCGGAGGCATTGCGCCCACTTGGCCGAGGCCAAACCTGTCCAGCGAGCAGGTCCGCCACGTGCAGCGCCTGATCGGCAGCGCCCCGCCGCCCGGCGCCGCCGCTTCAATTCCAGCAGGGCTTCCCAGATGGGGTCGGAGTAGGCGGGGTCGGAGGATCGCGCCGCATCGCCGATGCGGCTCGATGTGGGGCCCGAGTTGCCTCACGTCGACGTCGCCGATACATCGCCGACGTCGACGATGCATCGCGCCGGTACATCGCCGATACATCGCCGATGCATCGCCGACGTATCGGCGATGCGGCGCGATCCTCCCACCCCATCCATTCTGATCTTATCCAGGTCCTCCTCCTCCTCCTCCTCCTCCTCCTCCTCCTCCTCCTCCTCCTCCTCCAGGCAAAGAGCGGCCCAGGATGCAGCGCTCGCCTCGGGCCGCCCCGCGGGGAGGGAAGAGTCCGGACTTCCCAGATGGATCGGGGGTGGGCAGACCTCCTGCCCTGACACGTCGATTAGCGAATTGGCTGTTTTCGGTTCGCGAGAGGGCGTCGCGGCCGTCATTTTTGCGGGTCCGGGTCCGTCGGTTTCGGTCTTAGGCCGTTTTCACTGAAGGGGGGTTTATTAAAGGGAGGTTTGTCCACCGCCGAATGGAGTCCGAGCAGACGGGGTCGGAGGATCGCGCCGCATCGCCGATGCATCGCCGATGGGGCTCCATGGGGATCCGATCGTCTCCACGCCGTCGGCGTCGACGTCACCGCTGACCGATGCGTCGGCGATGCGGCGCGATCCTCCGACCCCATCTACTCGCACCCCATCCAGGAGGCCTCTAAAGAGGGATCGACGAGGAATGTTCCGACCCTGGGCTGCAGCTTTGACAGGTGCGCCGGAAGTTTCATGGGGCAGCAGCTTTGTCAGGTCAAAGTCCCCGTTTATGGGGCTTTGAGCCCCCCCCCACCACTGAAAAGAAACTTCAGATCGGTGGCCAAGCCTTGCAGTCAGCAGAAGGGAGGACTAGTAAAATTATCCCGGCAAAGCAACCTAACAGCGATGTGTAGGAGCATATCTGGAAGCATTCCCCTTACGATTCAGATGAGAATCCAGTTGTAGAATTCTGCTGTTCTCGCAGTCGTAGTCGCATTCGCGATGACAGTCGCAGTGGCAACGGCAGTCGCAGTCACAGCCTCAGCCTCAGCCTGCCTCAGCCTCAGCCTCAGCCTGCCTCAGCCTCAGCCTGCCTCAGCCTCAGCCTCAGCCTGCTTCAGCCTCAGCCTCAGTCTGCCTTCAGCCTCGGCCTCAGCCTCAGCCTGCCTCAGCCTCAGCCTGCATCAGCCTCAGCCTCAGCCTCAGCCTGCCTCAGCATCAGCCTGCCTCAGCCTCAGCCTCAGCCTGCCCTCAGCCTCAGCTCTGCTTCAGCCTCAGCCTCAGTCTGCCTTCAGCCTCGGCCTCAGCCTCAGCCTGCCTCAGCCTCAGCCTGCCTCAGCCTCAGCATCAGCCTGCTCAGCATTCAAAATGTGGCCCGGGAATGGAGTTCTGGGAACTCGAAGAACACGAAGTGGCCTACAGTTGGCTCCGGGCATTCAAAATCATGCCCAGGAATGGAGTTCTGGGAACTCGAAGACCACGAAGTGGCCTACAGTTGGCTCCGGGCATCCAAAATGTGGCCCGGGAATGGAGTTCTGGGAACTCGAAGACCACGAAGTGGCCTACAGTTGGCTCCGGGCATCCAAAAGTGGCCCGGGAATGGAGTTCTGGGAAGTCGAAGACACGAAGTGGCCTACAGTTGGCTCCGGGCATTCAAAATGTGGCCCGGGAATGGAGTTCTGGGAGCGCCAAGAGCGATTTTGCGAGGATGTCCCAAGCGATTTCGGCTTCGGCGGCAGCCGCCCCGGGTCCCGCCCAGACCCCCCTGAGGAGTCATGATGCTCTCTTTTGACACCACTAGAAACGTATCAGTCTTCGCTGTTAGGTAAATACGAGTGAACAGAACAAATGGATGATAAGATGGAGGAAGAGCAAGGAGGAGGAGGAGGAGGAGGAGGACGCAGGAGGAGGGGGACGGAAGGGTTTTGACAGTTTTTGGCCTCCAGGGGCCTGATGGGTCCTGGGCCCCTCAGAAACTGACTCGTGAAGAGAAACTAGTCCTTGGAAAGGAGGTTCAGAACTCTTTGGAAGCCACGGTGTGAGAAGAAATCGAAAACACGACGCCGAATGTCTGAAGAACAAGGGGAAAGCATGAAGAGCTAGGACGAGCAGGAGGAGTACGGAGGAGGGAGGAAGGGAGGGAGGGAGGGAGGCAACCGTGCGAGCGGGAAGCCGGCTCGGGTGAGTTGATCCGAAGGCGCTTCGAAGGGCACCCACAGCCGAAGCCAAAGCCAAAGCTGAAGCGCACAGACACGCAAAGGGCCCCCCCTGCAGGCTCGAACAAGTGCACATCGGAGGAGAGGTGGACGACGACGAGGGGGAGGGGCCGGTCCGAGTGCTCACGCACCTCTCCCTTCCATTCTCCGAGTATGCCGTATCTAGTCTGTCGTGTCTGCCCCTTCTCGTCGCCCCCCTGTCGCTCTCTCACAAGCTGGTGGCCCTGCGTCCCCGCGTGACGTGGGCCGCCAACGGCCGCGTCCTGTGCAGGCCCACGTGCCGCCAGCTCGGAGCTCGAAGGGGAGAGGAGTGCGCGTGAGTGTTTGCTCTCTCTCTTGTGCCACCTGCAACCAGGCAGCCACGGTCCGAGTGGCCGCGCACCTCTCCGTGATCCGAGCATGTCTCGTCTGCCGTGTCTGCTCCCCCCACGCCGTCGCCCTCCCCGCGGGTCGCTCTCTCACCAGCCAGTGGCCCTGCGTCCCCGCGGGACCTGGGCCGCCAGCGGCCGCGTCCTGTGCAGACCCACGTGCCACGAGCTCGGAGCTCGAAGTGGGCGGGGAGGGGGGCGAGGAGAGAGAGAGAGGGGCGTGCGTGCGGGGGGGCATGTCAGATCGGCGGCCCCGCCAGGCACTCAGCAGGAGGAGGGACAGCTGGAGGGTAAGGAGAAGGGAGGAGAAGGAGGAGGAGGAGGAAAAAGGAGGGAGGGAGGATACATATATAGAGAGAGAGGGAAAACGAGAGAGACAGAGAGAGAGAGAGCGAGACAAGCATAGGAGACAGGGGAAGAGAAAGAGAAAGAGCGAGACAGACAGAGAGAGAGAGAGAGAGAGCGAGAAAGAGAGGAGGCGCGCGGAAGGCCACAGCGCCTTTTCGCTCAGCCAGCTGATGGAGCGCCTGCTGCAGTTCCTTCCGCCGCTGGCGCTGGAGGAGGAGTGGATGGGTGGCGGCCCCAGGATCGGGGATCGAAGAGGATCGGGCGTGGTGGACTGAATGGGGACTCCTCGAGAGTCGGGCAGCGAGGGGGGCAGTAGAAGAAGGTAGGAGGAGGAGGAGGAGGAGGAGGACGACGAGGAGGCAGGAGGAGGAGGAGGAGAGGGAGGACCGGGTTTCGCTCGCCAGGCCACCGCAGGCCGTGAACGAGTCGGCTCGAGACGAAAAGCTGGGGGGGGGGCACCTTGGGACCTCCTGGGGGCCTCCCGGGGCCGAGAGCTCGAAGCGGTCCCCCGTCGGGGCCCCGTTCCGGAGGCGTCCTGGGGACCTCTGGGGCCGTCTTGGGCGCCTCTTGGGGTCATTCTGTGGCCATCTTGGGCCGTTTTGGGACCCTCTTGGAGGCCTCTCGGGCCGTCGTGGGGCGATCTCTGGGGGCCTCTGGGACCGTCCTGGAGCGTCGGGAAGCCGAAGAGGCGAAACGACAAAATCTTTCGGTCCCTGGGCAGCTCGCCCCTTGGCGCCCCCCGCCAGCCCCACGCCTAGGGGCGAGCAGATATACGGGCGCAGCACCGCGCTGGATGCGTAGCCGTCGGCTGGGTCAACAAAGCGAATGACGCATCGCGTGGCGGCTGGATGCCCGCGCCGAGCACAGCTCTTCTCGGTTCCTCCCTCCTCATCCTCTTCCCCCGCTGGCTTTAAACTGCCACCGAAATATCCTCACCCGCTGGCTTAAAACTGCCACCGAAACATCCTCACCCGCTGGCTTAAAACTGCCACCGACATATCCTCACCCGCTGGCTTAAAACTGCCACCGAAATTTCCTCACCTGCGAAAATAAAACTGCCACCGAAATATCCTCACCCGCTGGCTCAAAACTGCCGCCCTAAAGGGCCACTTTAGGGCCCGTGTCTTCACCCCCCATTGGGGTCACCCCTCCTTGCCACCCGCCCGACCCCCCCACCCGCGCCGAGGCAGCGCGCTGGCGCACCTCGGCCAGGTCATCCAGAGGCGGGCCAGGGCCTCCAGCGGTATTCGCGGCGGCCTTCGTGGCGACCATCGCGGCGGCCTTCGCGGCGGCGGCCTCTGGCGGCCGTCGGCGGCCTCTTGCGGCCATCGGGCCTTGGGCAGCCTTCGCGGCGGCCTCCGGCGGCATCTGGCGGCCTTCGGCGGCCATTGTTGCGGCCCCTGGCGGCCTTCGGCAGTCTCCGGCAGACCCCGGGTGCCTTGGAAGTCCCTCGGCGGCCTTCGGAGGCTGGCGGCCAGCGCCCCCCGGGGGCACGCCGCACGTCGAGCGCACGGTCTTCGGGCCGTTGTCGGCCTCCGCGGGGGCCCTCGCCGGGCCCCGGGATTGGCATAAGACGGCTCAGGATGAACAGCCCCAGACATGCTCGCGTCGTAAAAAATTCAGGACGGAGGTTTTTCACCGTTTTCGGGCTCTGGGGGCCTTCGCCCGGCCTCGGGACCGTCAAAAAACGACTCCGGATGAAAAACCGGCCCCGGGGGAAGGGTCGGGACTTCGGGGGGCGCCGTCCTGAAAAAATCAGGACGTCGCATGTCTGGGGCTGGTCCCCGGTAGGGGATCCAGACCTCCGGGAGCCACAAAAGTACGACGCCGGCCGGAGGGGCTCGAGGTCTACACCCCGTCGTGTTTCGAGCCAGGGGCTCGAGCAGTCCGGCGACGGAATTCGCTGCCTACAGTATAATTAGTATACACGCTCCAGCGCCCCGCGGGTTGGGAAGCCTGGCGTACCTAATTACACCGAGCTCCTTGGCCGACCAAACGACGGCGTGTGCGGCCAGCAACGTTTGGATCGCGTGTCGCTCCGCCGTTCGGGCCCTGGCCCACCACGCCTCTGCGCGACACGATGCCCCCTTCTTCAAGGGCTCCCACGAGGGCGCGAAGTTATTCGCGCTTCGCGCTTCGCGGTCCTCCTTCCTCCTCCCCCTCCTCCTCGTCCTCCTCTTCTCCCCCTTGGGGGGCGGCGCGAGAGCGCGAAGTTATTCGCGCTTCGCGCTTCGCGCAGCGCGAAGCGCGAACTTAGGAGCCCTTGCTTCGTTGCGGTTCCCGGGCGTCCACGTGCCGAGCTTTCCTTCAGCCTCCCGCCCCGCGGGGTGGAGCGACGCGCTGTCCGCTCGCCGGGCACGGCGTGTCGCCGGGGCCGCCCAGGCGACACGCTGAGCGAGAGTTCCCGAGCGCAAGCGGAACCGCGTACCCCCGTTTCGCGAAAAAACAAGCTCCATGAATATAAATATTCGATGCTCCGCGCGGATTTCTTGGATCGGGGCTGGGGCCCGCCTTGCGGCGCCTCCAGCGCCGCCCCTGACGCGCTCCGCGCGTGTGGGAGGGGGGTCCAACGCCGATCCAAGAAATCCGCGTGGAGTGCCCTAAGTTTCTGTGTATGCCAATGTGTGTTCCTCTACCTTTGCTGTCCCCCACTTTCGCCCGACCCGATCCTCCCTGCTCCGGTTTTGCAGGCCATTGAGCTCGAGCGGAGCGTTTGCTTTTATTGTGTAAGAGGGTCAAGATGCAATGATGTTTGTACGTTATAAGATTTCCAGGACTTCTTGTTGTCGCGCGCGGCCAGAGACGAGTGGCCGTGTACCCGAGGGTCATTAGAAATTCCATACTTCCCAGAGCGAATCCTGAGCCAAAAGTATCGTGACACCGTCGAAACTCTGAAGGCTGCTCGAACTACAGATGAGCTGGAAACAGGTTGCTGGGGCCAGCCTTTCCACCCGTTCCAGCCCTGGCCTGTTTCCGTGTAGGTGTTCAAGCCCTTGCGACCGCATCCCGACTGGGTCGGGCTCGCTTTAGCCCCTGCTAGCTTTTTCGGCCCAGGCCGCTTCCATGTTCATTGAATTTCCGACGTCGACTTCTTCCAGCTTTTCTACAGGGTTTCGGGGGGGGCGCAGATTTCGCTCCCGGGTACGCGTTGGGCCTCCCTTGGAGGGCAAAGTCTACCTTCTTCTAGGATGCCACTATCTCGGGCCCAGGCCAAATACAGCACTCACGTTCTATCCACAAGCGTCGCTGGACACATCAGGTGTTGTTACGTACCTAAGACCTTCGCCCCCCCGCCACCATGCCAGGGCTTGTGGGTATGAAGCCTATGGGATGTTCGTTGGGATCTCGTGGGGGGCCTCTCGAGGGCCTCTTGGAGGCAGATTTGAAGCCTCCTGGGGCCCATTGTGGGGCCTCCTGGGAGCGAGGCCTCGTGGATGTCCGTTGGGATCTCGTGGGGCGCCTCTCGGGGGACTCTTAGAGGCAGGTGCGACGCAAGCAATGTGGACGCGCATGCTTTGAGGCCAACTAGATGAGCGGCGCCCCGCGCATCCGACGCGGAGCACTCAGGGAATCGCCAGTTCGTCGCGCATGCTTCGAGGCCGATTAGCGGAGCGGCGCTCTGCTAATCCGACGTGGAGCACTCCGCGAATCGCATGTTTTGAGGCGGATTAGCGGAACGACGCTCCGTCAATCCGATTAGGAGCATTCAGGGAATCGGCGCGCATGTTCGGAGGCAAATTGGAAGAGCGGAATCCGACGCGCAGCATTCCGCGAATCACATGCTCCGAGGCCAATTCGCGGAGCGGCACTCCGTTAATTCCACGCGAAGCACTCCGAGAGTCGGTGCTCATGCTTTGAGGCCAATTAGCGGAGCGGCCCTCCACTGATTAAGCGGACGCGACGCACTGGGGAAAGTGGGGTTGGGGCCCTTGAAAGATTTCTTTGGGGTCAGGACTGAGGCTCAGGGGATTAGGCAAAGGACCTGAGGACACTGCACATCGTGCCACAAGGGCACGGTTGCGGATATAGAGACATGTGGAATAGATGCGTTCACCTTATAGACTAAAGGCAACGCGGCCGTTGCGTTCGGCGCAGTACCAGGTCCGCGGGAAAGGGGGGAGAGCCAGGGATGCGCCAGGCGTTCGAGGGGTAGTCGCAGAAAGTAACACTCGTCTTTCTTGGTCCGTTTCCTCCCTGCCTCCACAGACCCCCTCGAGTCATGAAAAAAACACGCGTCAGGTTTCCCCCTATTTTCGGCTTCCAGGAGCCTTTACCAGGCTTCGGGACCGTCAAAATCGACACACGATGGAAACATGAATACGTTCGGCGAGATGATGCCAGGCGTGGCTTCATCGGCCCTTCAGCGTCGCAGCGCAGGGTTTCGCTAAAGGGGACCCCCTGGCCCCAAGTCACCTTCCATTCCCAGTGGTGGGGGGCGTCGGGGATACCGTGCCCCCCCGAACCCGAAATTTAGGTCTTCGGGTTAGGTTGGGGTGGCTTGGTAGGTAAGCATTGTGGAGGACGATCAATGGAGAGGAGGCATGCCGCCAAATAATTTCCAGATGGCTTAAACATGTTTCAAACATGTTCCAACTATTAAAACAGGTTTGAACTTTGCTAAGAACTAGGATTGTTAGAGTGCCCAGTGTCGTGGCATCCACAAGGTAAGCAGGAAAGCACCAGGCGACGACGACGAGAGGGCAAATCGGATCCTCGAGTGGGGCCCGCGCCGGGCCGCCGCCCGTACCCGCAGGTGGGCCGGCGACGGGGTGGCCCTGCACGCCGCCCTGCTGCAGTTCTACACCGTCTTCGACGAGGACCTCCCGCCGCCCCGCGCGCCGCCCGCGCCCGGTGTCGCGGCCCTCCTCGAGCTCCTCCTCCTCGACCTCCTCCCCCTCGACCTCGCCGCCGCCAGCTGCAACTGACGCCGACGGCCCAAGCGCGTCGCAGGGTATCGGAATGAGGTCGGATCGGCCCGGTTCTTTGGTTTCCTTTGCCTGCAGAGTGAGCTCTTCCCTCCCTCGCGATCTCCTCGACCTGTTCCTTTCTTGACCAAGCCGCGGGAACGAGCGCTTGAGGCCTCCGTTGGCGGGCCTTGCAACCAGCCCGCTACCCCGCACAGGCCAGGACAGCGCGGGAGAAGCAGCAAGAACAGCAATACGCTATGGACGGCGGCGGACAGGGAGAGCGATTTGACTTTCTCCTCCTTCTCCTACTCCTCCTTCTCCTCGGCCCCATTCTTCTCGACCTCCTCCACGAGGAGGACCAGTACGAGGAGGAGGAGGAGGAGGAGGAGGAGGAGGCGGAGGAGGAGGAGGGGGGGAAGACAAGCTAGGTGCGATCGCGTCATATCTGACGTCCTACCCCTCCCTCCCATCCCTTACCATGGCGTAGATCTCCTCTCTATTCGCACAGTCGGATGTCGCAGCAGGGCATAGCATTACATGGCACAGCATGGTGTTGAAGATCAACGCGTAGCCTGACATAGCATGGCGTGGCGACGCCCCGAAGTGGGGTGGGTCTGCGACCACCAAAATCAACGAACCGACACCGAATGTGGAATCACTTCCGACGGTTGTTTCGGGGGAACATGTTGTTTAGATATTGGGGCCTATTCGGCAAGACAGGAAACCATGCCGTGGCATGGCGCCTGAAATAATGACGCCAGCGCTGCAGCGGGAGCACGATTCGGAACAAGCGGAGGCGCGGAAATGCGGACAGCGTTGCAGCGGGAGCACGATACGGAGGACGCGTAACCTGACATGGCATGACGTGGCGACGCCCTGAAGTGGGGGTATGGGCTTCTGCGACTCAAAGAATAAACGCTTCGGCACCGAATGTGTAACCACTTCCGATGGTTGTTTCGGGGTGGCATTTTCCAGATTCCTGTGCCTGTTTGGACGGACCGAAAACTATGCCGTGACATGGCGCTGGCAATAATGACGCCAGCGCTGCAGCGGGAGCACGATTCGGGACGAGCGGAAGCGCGGAAATGAGGCCAGCGTTGCAGCGGGAGCGCGGTTCGGAACGAGCGGTAGCCCGAAAATGAAGCCAGAGCCTCAGCGAGAGCAGCATTTTGAAACAAAACCCAAGCGAAAACCCACTTCCCGGGAATCCCGTGCGTAAAAAGACCATACGCGGAAGGGGGCTCGAATTTTGCTTGGACGTCACCAGGGGAGAGTTGACTACTCATAGTGTGTAATTGTAAATGGGGGAGGAAGAAAGGAGGCCGAGGAGGAGGAGGAGGAGGAGGAGGAAGAGGAGACCCAAGGAGGAGACAGCCGCCTTTCCTCCATTCGCCCTTCCTTCACCCTCCTTCGCCCCTCCCCTCCTTTTGTTTTCTACCCTCGGGGGTCTTGAGGGTATGTTTCAGACGTTTCGAATGAGTTTAGGACGTGTGCTTGATTCGTTTATGACTTGCATGGGTTTCCGAGGACCTCTGTTGACCTTTGGGGCGCGGCCCTGCTCCTGCTCGACCTCCTGCTGCTGCTCCTCTGCCTCTCGCTTTTCGACCTCCTCTTCGACCTCCTCCCCCTCCTCCGCCTTATCCTGCTCGGTCTTCTCCCCCCCTCCTCGACCATTTCTTCATCGACCTCCTCCGTGTCGCCGTCCTCGTACTCCTTCTCGGTCTTCGACCTCCTTCTGTTCCGCCCGCTTCCTCCTCCTCCTCCCCCTCCCCCTCCTCCTCCTCCTCCTCCTTCTCCTCCTCCTCTTCCTCCTCCTCCTCTTCCGTGGCCATCTGGGCTCAAAATGTCTGTCGCCCGTGGCGGAGCACGGAAACATTTGTCCAGAGACAGCATCCAGCACCAGGCAACCCCAGCCGAGCTGCGCGCTGCTGGGGCCAAGCGTGCGGTACAGGCTCGCTCCTCCTGCATTCGCGATGGGACAAGATGGGTGGAAAAGCTATGCGACGTGCCGTGCCCGTGGCAACTGGTGCTACGCGCACAAGCTGCGTAATCAGAAGGGCTACTGCGGCGTCCGCGGGGGGGCCCATCGGCACCCCAGTGCCTTGGTGGAAAGGGCCAACAGTGCAAGGGGACTCGTGGGGAGTCCGGCTTGGAGTCGCGGTGGGGGGGCCAAACCATGCGAGGACGCGGCGGAGTACGAAGAGGCGCAGTTGGAGAAGTACAGCCCGAGTGCGGCCAAGCTCGCGCGCGCAGAGGTCGAGAGGGACAAGGCGAAGGAGCAGCAGCCTGCCCAGCCGCCGAAGTCCTTGTGGCAGCAGCTCCGCTCGGCCAAGCAGCGCAAGGAGTCGAAGGCCAAGGAGCTCCTCAAAGCCGAAGAGCAGCTCCTGGAGCAGGAAGCCTTCCACGAGGCACAGGAGAAGCGCGACCGCCTGCTGGACCAGTCACCCGATGCCAACCAGGAGCACGAGCGGGTTTCGGAGGCGTACTGCAAAGGGGCCCTTGCTGGGGCTGGTGGCGGGCCCATGGCGGGGCCATCTGTGGTGGACTTCGAGGTGGACCCAGCGCTGTTGGAGGAGGGCCTCGACCACCTGGATGAGCACGAGGATGGCGAGGTCAAGCAGGGGGTGGCCACCTTCCGCGACCAATTTGCCGTGGCGCAGTGGCTTGGCAAGGAGGCGAAGCAGACCCATGACGACGCGGTGGCTCGCCATGCGGAGGAGGCGCAGCGCTCGCATGATCAGGCGCAGGCCCGCCAGAACACCCTGCTGGACGAGGTGGAGTAGCTGCACGCCCAACGGTCGCGGCTCAAGAGAAGGAAGACGGAGCGCATGTTTGAGGTGCCGAAGGAGGAGCTTGCCGATCTGCCCGACGCGCCGCCCGCGCCTGCTCCGAAGCCCGTGCTGTCGGGGGGCGAGAAGCAGGCGCGCAGGGCGGGGCCTGAGAAGCTCCAGCTGAACACGGAGAAGCTGCAGGCCGACAAGGCCAAGGCGGCTGACAAGGGGGCCCAACTTGCTGCTCCTGTTGCTGGGACTGGTGATGCTGGGGCTCGCTCCGGCAGCGGCGCGGCGCGACCGCGAGGAGTGAGGGGCCCGAGCCCACGAGTACATCAATGAGCTTATCGACAGCAGCCCAGCCATATCCATAATTTCTTTGTGCGAGAGGCACGCGGCGGAGCACGAGGAGGCCAAGCTGCGCGGCGACCTGGACAAGGACAGCTGGAAGTCCACGACGACCGCGGCGGCTAGCCTGGTGAAGTCGGCGGCCATGGCGCCCCGCGCCAAAGCGGGCAATTGCATCGCGATTGCCGCGCACATGTCGCCGAAGTGGCGCGGCGTTTTCCCAGCCAGGCAAAGCTGGCTGGCAGCCTAGGCGGGGTTCCTGCGCGTGCTGGAGGAGCCGCGGGTCATCGTGGCGGACTGGGGCCTGGCACCAGACAGGCTGCAGGCGCCGGGATTCCCTCGGCGCCGCGCGGGCGACGCGCGCCAAGGGAGAGGGGTCGTTGATGGACTTCTACTTGGTGCGCGAGGCGGGGATTTCGTGCCGATGGTCTCGGCGCAGGCTGCGTTGAAGGTGCCTTGGAGGGCGCGCTGCGGGCTGGACATGCAGGTCAAAGGTTCTTACGGGTAGCGGGGGGCGCAGACGCTGGCGGCACGGCGCGCGACACTCGAGTGACCCGCCCCGGACCGCGCTAGGACCCCGAGAGCAAGACCTCCAAGCGCAAGCAGCTGCGGCTGCAGCGGCGGAGGCGGAGGCTGGACACGGAGCTCCAGGAGGCTTTCGACGAGCTGCACGACTATGAGCTGGGGCGCCAGGAGGAGCCGAGCGCGCCCCTCTTCGTCGCGGAGGAGGCGCGGGCGCTGGCTGCCGACCCGGCCGTTTTGCCAGTGCACCAATCCGATGCGGAATTTGGGCGACCACGTGGCGCGCGACGGCAAGATGCAGCAGGGGCAGATCACCCCGGTGAAGCGTGGCCGCTGCGTGACCCAGATGGAGGAGGCCATCCTGCGCGCCCGCGAGGTGCCCAAGGAGGTTCGCGATCGACATGGAGGACGCAGCGGCGGCTATTCAATTCAGTTGAGGGAGATGAAGCCGGCGCCTGGCAGGGTGCACATGCGGAACCGCAAGGTGAGAAGCGTGGCTCATCTGGCGAGCAAGATGAATATCTACGGCGCCCCGACGAAAAGGCAAGCGGGGCGAGTGCCAGCGTGGCAGGCTGGCGCAGCAGAGTACACAGATCCCGACAGGCATGGGGAACCGGCGCGCGCTGCAGTACTTCGGGGAGAGCAAGCGGGGCGCTGACGTCCAGCAGTGGAAATTGATGGTCGAGAACTGGGTGCAGCTGGACGGGGCCCAGCGGGAGCAGTTCTTGGAGGACGCCGAGGTGCTGGCGACGATCGGCCAGGCCCGCGCCTTTGGCGAGTCCGGGAGAGCATGCGCGAAGTGGGCGCAGACCGCGTGGAAGGGGCACGCGGGCCCCCTCTGTCAGCGCGCGAAGGGGCCTAGGGCGGCGCTGCAGGAAATCGCGGACGGAGAGACAGCGCGCAGCCGGCCCGACCGCATCATGGACGGCAGAGCCCGTGGGACCACCTGTGGCGTGAGTGCGACCTCGTCATGGAGAGCACCCCGGCGACGAGGCAGCGCGCGCTGGAGGCGGCGAAGGAGGCGTGCCCGCCGCTGGCGGTAGAGGACCCAGCCAGGCGATTGCCGCGGTCGGCATCAACAGGGCGAACGGGATCGATGCCGCACAGCCCCTGGACGCGCAGCGGCTGCTCATGACGGCGACGCAGGAGATGACGGACATCGCCGGCGCCTGCGAGGAGGCAGGCCGCTGGCCCCGCCATTGCAAGACGGCGCCGGCGGCGACGGCGCCCAAGCCCGCTGGCGGCGACAGGGCCCTGGGCATGCCCCCGCCACTGCTCTGCCCTGGAGCAAGGCCCGCGGGCTTATCGCGTGGACGTGGACGGGGGAGCTGGGGGCCTTCTGGGACGGCGCCATCTATGGCTCGCCCTCGCTGCGCG